GTGAAAATTTTTGCATTTTCCAGTTTTTCAAGCACATCTTCAACGATTGGAACGGGGAAGCAATCTTTTAGCACCATCTTGTTCAACTGGCGATAGTCCACGCAGACCCTGTTGCTCCCATCTTTTTTCTTGACGATTACTGTGCGGCTGGCGAAATTTGAGGATGAGCGCCGTATTATTCCAGCGTTCAGCCATATATCAATCTGCAGCTTGACTACATCAGCTTCGCTAATAGCCACTCGGCTTGGAGCATGTCGAAACGGTGTTATGTTCTCATCTGGTAAAATTTTCAGCGTGATCGGGCACACAGCAGTCTGCTTCTTTTCGGAAAATTCTTCAATCATAGATTGGACGGTATCTCTGTACTGTGAGGGGACATCAATATCAGTATTTTCTTCAACCAAATTATATATACTTAACTAATTCGTGTTCACAGTTGCCTATTCATTCAGAGGAGAAAACTGATATCCTTCCGGCGTAGACCTCATTGTGAATTTGGATACAAAGTCATATCCCAGCAGCAAATCGCATCCGATGGCATGATTGGCCACCACAAGAAGCTTGTGTGCCAGACACATACCGTCGATCTCCACTTCTGCCATAAATTGACCAGCGGAGCGTGTGATATTGTTTCCAAGTCCTCTTAAAGTTGTAGAGCTTGGCTGCAAGAGCGCGCTACCCATTTTCTCAAACACGGACATTTTTAATAGGGTAACATCTGAACCTGTGTCTATGAGCCCCTTGACTTGCACATTGTTGATTTTCAGAGACTTAAGGCGTTTTTCCTCGTATGCTACGTTTACGGCAGCCGTACCAGGGCAATCTTTCGACATGTGACCACTCTGATTGCACCGGAAACACTTTAATGCAGCTCGGCAATCCTTGCGTAGATGTTCTTGGGATCCACAATTGTAGCAGTGCAGTTTCCTCACATAGCTGTTGTGCTCGGGCTTCATTGCGAGCTGCTGTGATTCTTTCTTCTTCACCATCACATTATCATCGATCTGACGCGTTCGTTCGTAGATTTCGTATTTCTCTTTTAGCTGCTTGTAAGAACTGCATCCATACAAGGTGTACTTGTAATCCGTTTTAAGCCTCAATCCGTCGACAATGTACCGAATTACCGACTCAGTGTCTAATGTCCCACGAGCAGCAATGCGTTTCATCTGTAGCATGTATTCGTGAAAGCTTTCGTTTTTTGCTTTCACTCGCACAGACAGCTGATTGTGAATTTGGGCACTGCATACACGATCGCACTCGAATTCCGTTACAAGTTGTTGACGCAGCTGACTGTACTCGTACACTTCTGTAGACTCGAGAAAAAGAGCGGCTGTACATGTCATTTTGGCACGAGCTTGTACGTATTTCTGCTTGTCGTTAAGCCCATATGCGTCGGCGTTTAATTCGAAGTTATTAAACCACTGTTGCACAGACATATTTTCTCCACTGAACTCAGGAATTATTTTGGCAAAATTTTCCACTACCAGCTTCGCATCATTTTTTTTGTCAATTTCATCGGCGGTAATTTTCAACGTGAGAAGTTGAACCAAATCTTGGAGAGTCTGCGTGTTTTGTTCTAAGACGTTGGTGTCGTTTCGGCGATTGTTTCCACATGTCCCTGATCCACTTGGGCCCTCGTATATTTCCACTTTCTCATCTTGTGGTTCCTTTTCATTTGTCATAATAATTCTGTTGCGCAATACCCTTACCGGTAGTCTGCTTGAAGATACCGTTTTCTTTTTCTGATCCTCTTTCCTTCTGGTTGTTGTCTCGTTTCCTCTGCTGGCGGCTTTTGAGGAATGTGGCACCAAACTGTTTTGTTGTCTCGCTTTATCTAATTGTTTCTGAGACATGCGGATTGCGCATTTTATCACTTTTCACTGGCAATTCGCGACTGGTTGAGCCCCCAAATGTGAGATATTATTTAGTACAGTTTATTAATATTATTTCGCGGTGCACAGTTACTGAATATAATAATTGGCTTTTATTAAATTGCTGGATAAATGCTGCTGCTTTCTGCTGATTCTTTCACACACGTTCGGCTGCTTCGATTCTCTTCTGCTACTGTCCTGTTCGGCTGCTACTTCTTCTGCTACTGTCCTGTTCGGCTGCTACTTCTTCTGCTACTCCTGTGCTGTACGACTTCTGCTGCTGTTACTCTGCTGTACGACTTCTGCTGCTGTTACTCTGCTGTACGACTTCTGCTGCTGTTAACCAGTGTGCCTTTAGTAGATCTGCTTGCCTACTCTCTGTTACATATATTATGACGGCCAGGTCGAGTCGTGGGCTCTCGGTGCTCTCCTTATTGTCATTGTCAAAGACGGTGAAGGACGTGCCGAACACATTGGAGCGGAGCTTGCCACAGAAGCCATCGGCATTGCGGGACAAATCCGTGGGATCGCAGCTGACTATGTAGTTTGATGTCTTGCTCTTCTTCCGTTTGCAGCCTGCAAATCAAATCAATTTTTTTTAGGTGACAGCACCTTAAAGGGGTATATAGTTTTAACCCACCTCCTAGCAGGAATATCTTCTTACCGTAGTCCCGCTCCAGGTGCAAGTAGTACATGGGAAAGAGACCGCGGTCCATGCCCTTGCGGTCCCGGGTGATACGGCACTTATAGAGGACTCGATGTTTCCGATGACATACCCCTCGGACTCCCCGCCAGTCCCATTCCCCGTCTCATTGCTGTCCAGCGCATCCTTGTAGGGCGACGAGGCCATTCCGGCGGGACGCACTGGTGCTGCTCCTGCGACATTGCGGTTGGTGTAGTCGTCCTCGTCCTGGTTATCACTGAAGGAATGCTGGCGTGCATGTGGTTTTTGAGATTGCGTCGAGTTAATTGCTCTCCTCGTCCTCCAGATCGTGCGATGCGATCTCCTCTATAAGATGGGGAAAAATGAATTTTGAAAATGTAATAATCTAATGGTTTGTCTTCTCGTTACACGTTTTTGGACAACAAAAGCATATCTATTTACTATTCAATAGCTTTTATTTAGTAAACATATTACTTTAAAATTGCAAATATTTGTAATATATATTGTTTATTGAACAAAAATTTATTTTACTGGATTGTTTTTAAAGTTTTAAACTTTCGTTTTTTCTGATTAGAAAAAAACAAATCAAAATCAAAAAATCAAAATAATTTGGCCATAGCTTCTATGGCAGCTATACGCTATTGTTGTCCGATTTCTATTTAATTAAACCGTAATTTCAAAATATTTAAATGTTACTTAATCCCAAAGAACAAAAGAAAAAACAATCCCAAAAACAACAAAGTTATAATTTTTTGAATTTGTTTTTCAAATTGTTCCTATGAGAGTTATATGATATAGTCGCCCGATCCGACTTATATACTACCCGCATCACAAAGACAACTTTTGGGAAAGTTTCAAGCAGATAGCTTTAAAACTGTGGGACTAGTTTGCGTAGAAACGGACGGACGGACAGACGGACATGGCTAGATCGACCTAGTAATGCTGATTAAGAATATAAATACTTTTTAGGGTCGGACTGAAATTATAATACCCTCTGCAAGTGTATTAAAAGCAAAAAGTACTTAGGCCTTTAGTTCTTTCATTTAAAAATCCAAAAATTAATAATATTTTTAGAAATTTTAGAAAAATATTATAAATATATATTTAATAATTGATATTATTGATCCCGTTCTTAGGTTTTGCCTTGCAATAAAATGTTAAATGGAATTGCTTATGTTGAGTATATTTTTTGTAGTGTATGGTCACTTACCCTCCTGATTGATGGTGCTCCGGCTGCGACTCGTGTTCATGGCAACCGGAGTGACGCCCCTGGGGCTGCCGTTGGTCAGTTGGGGCGAGCGGATGAACTGGGTCCGTCGTAGGCCTGCAGCTCGCGACTGTTGCTGCTCATCCCGGACATCGGCCGGCTGATCTGGAGATCACTGGCCTGGATCATTCCGGGCGAGGCTCTTTTTTGCCTGATGTAGGCCTCCATCAGCTGGCGCTGCAAGCAAATAAGTTGCAACAAATTGCTAAATAGAATTTACACCCACGGAGAGGATAAATGACCGCAATAAATGCCTAAATATTTGCATATGCGGGCAGCAGGTAATTGGCCCAGCATCCCGACGGAGCGAAAAGAGGGAATCGAGCCGATCCGTCAGCACCACCACCCTCATCCCCATCCACCATCCATCCACCAAGCACCAAGCACCCAACTCAATGGAATGGGTGGGTGTGGGAATGCGAATGCAAATGGAAATGGGTACGAACCACCGCCGCATGACATGTGGGACAGCGGTTGATGGCAATGATTTCATTAAAGATTTAAATTTCAAGTTCACGTTCATGCTTACCAGCGCAAAAACAATAGCAGTATCTGTCAAAACTTGCGCTGAAATTGCGCATATAAATCAAATCAAATATCCCGAGTTTAATGGCTTCATTTTTTCTTTTTCTTTAACAGGACGTAAAAAGCATATCTTTATACCAAACAAGAAAGTTATTGCAAAGCGATTACATTTTGATTTCTATGCCAATAATACTAAAAACAATGAAGCTATGTCAATTTTGCGCTGCATTTTGCCATCGTTTCTATGGCAGCTATATGATATTGTTGTCCGATTTTAATTTAATTACAACCGTAATTCTATAATATGTAAATATTACCAAGTCCCAAAGAACAAAAAAATGTAAAACTTAAAAACAACAAAGTTATAAGTTTTTTGAATTTTTTCCGATTGTTCCTACGGAGATATATGATATGACGCCCAATCCGGCTCGTTCTGACTTATATACTACCTGCAATAGATAGACAACTTTTGGGAAAGTATGTTAGATAGCAGATAGCTTAAAAACTGAGGAACTAGTTTGCGTAGAAACGGACGGACGGACTATATCTATACTTTATAGGGTCGGAAATGAGTTACAAACTTTTGACCGAAATTAATTTTTGTACTAAAGGCATAGAAATCGAAATGTAGTCGATTTGTAATAACTGCAAGAGTATATAAACTTCGGCTTGCCTTTAAAACAATATTATTGTTACTACTTTTTAATAAAGAGAATTCCCGAGTTCGTTTAGTTCGTTTATGGCTTAAAATATATATCGTTTGGGGCACTACAAAAATCGGGGACTACAGGAAGTTAACGTTACTCAGGATGCTTTCAATGGTGGAGTTGAGCTCGCGCACTTTGGGCGCCGGATCGCACTGGAGCTGGAAGTAGCCGGGCAGATCCTGCTCCGCCTCGAAGGCACTCGTCCTGTTGGCGCCCAGCCAGAGGTCCAGCCTATCGTAGATCACGCCCGTGGGTCCCTGCTGCAGGAACCAGTTGATGGAGTCGCGGTCCTTGAGGTCCGATCCCCAGAGCAGGACGATGGGGACCTGTGCGCGGGCACGTTGGACAACAGAAGGATCCGCCTTGACGAACACGGCGTTGGGCGAAATGCCGCCCAGATCAAAGGCCTGTGCGAAGTTGACGCTCTGCTCAACGGTGCTGGTTCGCGGATCGGTGAAAGCGTTCTCCTTGCTGCTGGACAGGAAGAGCACCGGGTACATGTGCTGCTTGAAGCGCAGCAGAGAGCACAGATCCGCGTCGAAGCTCTTGATCACATTAAGCCGCCCGCAGCCGTGTCGCCGCACCACCGCCAGGATGCGGTCCGCGAACAGGTTCTTGTCCAGCGTCTGCTCGCTCTCGAACTGCCCGTCCGCCTTCTGCTGCGGCCACTTGATCTCGATGTCGAATCCTGTGCTCTGGTTCACCTGCTCAAAGAAGTCCTGCAGAGTGGGAAAGAGCCGCTGCTCCGGCGGCTCCACGTTGTTGTGCGCCGGATACTCGACGATCTTGTTGCCCACGATCTGGTAGGTCTTCAGGTCCTTCAGCTGCTCGTAGGATATGTCCTTCAGCAGCACCTCGGTCAGGTCGTCGCGACTGGTTGGTGTCTTGGAGTCGATGCAGACGCGAATGGAGAAGTCGTGGTGGATGATGGGCACCAGATCGCTGGTCAGCTGCACGTCGAACTCCACGAGATCGGCTCCCATCTCGGCGGAGGCCAGCATGGAGGCCACCGTGTTCTCGATGAGAGGAGCCGCATTCGAGGTGACCGTGAGCGACTTGCCCAGTCCGCGGTGGCCAATCTCCAGCGCCGTCCAGTTGGAGCGCCAGTAGTTGGCAAAGCTGGTGCGCAGGTCGAAGCCATCCTTCTCCATGGGTCGGATGACCAGGTACTCCAGCCGCAGTTCGCCCACCAGGCGCTGCCAGAGTGGCGAGATGAGGTCGATGGAGACACTGCCCTCGGTGCCGGGGAACGAGGTGTGCTGCAGGTGCGAATAACCCAGCAGTCGGACCAGGCTCGCGTCCGGCTGTTCGGCGTACACTTCCACCAGGAAGGCCACCCGCTCCAGCTGCTCCAGGCTCACGTGGAACATGAGGATATCGCCGGAGGCGTAGGGCACTCCGTACTCCGGCTGGACCCGGAGTGTGCTGTCCGCGTACGCCATTCGCACATACTCCACACTGGCGCGAGCCGAACTGAGGATGGGCGCCAGGCTCTTCGGATCCACGGGCTGCAGTCGCAGGCGCAGCTTTCCCTGTCCCAGTTCTGGCTGCTCCTCCAGGCTGAGAGCCTCGCGGAACACCTTCAGCTGCAGGATGCTGCCAGAGTCCTGCAGCCAGCCACGCGACAGTTGGCGTTGTGCTGCTATAAGTCCGAACTCATCGCTTCGGTTGCCACTGAACTTGGTGGTGTTGAAGGTCCTGGCCTGGACGTGCGACTCCCAGCGGCGGATCTGAACGGCTCCACTCTGGCCAACGGCGGCCGCGAAGTAGCGATACTCCACGCTGCTGTTCTGGGGTATTTCCACCGAGGCAGTCCACACATTGTGCACGGCGGTGCGATTGAGGAGCAGCGCCTGTTTCGCCTGCCAGGCGCCCAAAACGGGCAGGTTGCCCACCAGGGCGGGTCGCTCGAACGCCGCCAGTTGATCGGAATCCGGCAGCCTTAGGGTGAAGTTGAAGAGCAGCGGGGCGTTGCGCTTGAGGGGAACATAGCGCCGAGCCGCGTAGTACTTCTCGTAGTAGGAGGTGTCGCAGAAGGTCTCCACGGGCAGCAGGCACAGGGTGCTCAGCCAGGCGACGGTGAACGCCACGAAAGTCTTCGACCAGGACACCGACATGTCTGCACTCGACGGCGATCGCGCTGCGACTGGGGTTGCTTTTCTGGGGGAACTGGGATCACCAGGGCGAGATTTATGGCAGTGGCCTCATCTTCGAGTGGGCGACACGATAAGGTTTCACACTATCGTGGTTTCAATGCGACTCGTCTGGCCGGTGGTCAAACCTATTCTGTTCATGCACGTGTGCCCTAGACTCGTGCACCCCGCCGATACAGATACAGATACAGAGAGAGAAACAGAGACAGATACAGATACGGATTCAGATTCATCGAAAGCTTTGGGGTGGTGCCTACGTCATCGTCATCAACGGGCGACGAACGGGTGGCAGTTTAAATGAATTTGATATCGAGTGTTGCGCAAAAGCTTAACCTTCAATGGGAACGGAATGTAATGGCCACATACGGAGACCCGAGACCAAAGACCAGAGTCCGGAGACCGGAGCTCCCCTTATGTGGTGGCTGACCCCCAGTCGAGCAATTTACATGGTGAAAGTTTGTCAGCCTCCGTGTTATTTATCCGCTTAGCTCAATTATCCATTTTGTAACGTTCTGTTTTCCTTTCGAGTCAGTCGGCAGAGGTGGCACTGAAATAGTAATAACAATGTTCTAAATAGCGAATGGCTTACAGCGCTCGCAGGGTAATCTGCGTAAATTATACCGCTCGAGGTTCGCACCATGATTGCAGTTCCTTTAACTTCTGGTTCATCCCAAATGTAACTACTCTCTGGGGCACGTTCACAAGGTGTTCCTTTTTTGTCTACTGGTTTTATGAGCAACACGCGATTATGTGAAAATTTGAAATCAGTTGGCTGCCAAGAAAAACTCAAGCACGTACAGCATACAGGAAGCTACGAGGGAAATGCAGAGCGGGCAAAAAACGAGTGACGTCGCCTTGGGAGATCCGGTTGGTTTGGTGGGTAAAAAACTTGGAAACTCGAAGTGGAGCACGATACAACACAAACTCTTTGGAGGGGTTCGTTTATGGCTTGACATAAATAACAACTATAAAGCAGCGAATGCATAAAGTTTAGCTCAACAAGGACGCTTCTAGGTGATGAAGCAGTCAATGATGCAAGGCATTAGATTTTATTTGGTACACAATTATCTGGCGCATCACCCTGAAAATTCATGACTTAATCATCAGAATAAAACTTTAATGATTTAAAAGATTGCTTTACTTTATAATAGCACCTGGTATATTAGGCTACTTAAACTTTAAGTATTTCATGAATGATAAAATTTGATAATAATATTACAATCTTAGCATTTCTTCAAAATCTGAATATTATTATTTGCAGCTTATCAAACCAAAGATATTTGGCAAGGGAAAACTCACAAAATTGCCATAAAGCTCATCGCCTTGAGCCATAATCCTTCGTTTAATACGTAATCATACGGTTTTATTATTTTTCAATTTCACATACACAGGCGTATTAGGCGGGAAGTCAGAATAACGAAAATATACGACTGTGGGAGGATGGGTGTCGTAAACGAGAAAATGTGCAAATGTTTTTCAGCAACTTTTCGGGCATGCTTAGCGCATTTATTTTAATTTGGGGCCAGACAAATTTGCGTATACGTAATGAAGGGGTCTCGCCCAGTGCAATAAAAGACATAAGCACAAAGAACACCCAACACTCGCACGCATACATATACACACTAGGAAGGTCAACATGTGTTGGCAACTGATATTCGGTGGGCTGCATACTTTCGGGGGTCGCGTAATAAAATGATTACTCATACGCCCCGTGCGCAAAACAAGGAAATTGAGAGCGTCAGCAAGCCAAACATCCCAGAATGTATTGTGGTTTTTTTGTTACCGCCTCTTGTTTGTTGTTGGCAAATACGACAACAGCCAGGACGAGCAAATCAGCCCCCTCCTCCCTGCCCTCGAGTTGGCAAGGACCCGCTGCTGCCTGCTGATGTGTTTTGGCATAAAGGATTATATGCACGTATTACAGCGGCTTAAGTGAGCTTCCGCATGCCAAAAAGCCGAAAGGCAACAAATGCACGCAGGAAAAATGACAAATTGAATTCCAAATTAAGGTTTATACAGTCCCCTAATTCCCATATAAATAAATATAGAACAACTTTTAAAAATCAAGTCTGTAACTTTGAATATAACATTTTTTCTTTAAACATAGAATACAAAAAATTGTTAAAAGAAACTAAATCTTAGGAAAAAGCTGATAGAAAATTTATTAAACTGATAATATTTATGAGATGTTTTAGTTATACTCGAAAGAAATTCTTTCTTTTTATCCAATCTTAATAAAATTGTATTTAATTCTCAATTGACTTTATTTCGGTTACACGTTAATTAAAATTAATACTTAACACCACAAAAACTTTTAGATGCAATAAAATAACAGTTTTGTATTTGAGTGTACCTCACACGGTTTATGAAGCGTGTGTAAGTCCTTCTAATTTCTCAAAACTTTAATAAAATTCAGCAAGAGTTGTTCAACTCGCACACATGCCAAATCGAATTACCAATGGCCTGGAAAAGTGTTCATCAATTTTCAGCCTGGCCTACAGACAATAGATTTAGCCTAGCTATCTCGACGATCCGGCCATTAACCCCTAAAGTGTGGGGCACGGTGTCAAAGCTGCGTGGCAACTATTACGAGGGGCTTTTCGCCTTTTCCTTTGACCCCACACTTTACCCTTCATCCGGGTTTTTGTAGCTGTAGCTGCTGCCCTGTTGGTTTTGGCCATATTGACATTCATTTACGTGCTCGCTTCATTAAGCCATAAGCCATGACCATATCGGACGTGTCATGTTCACATTGTTCTCCTCACAATGGAGACACAATCCCAAACCGGAGGATGTGGCATCAAATGTGTTCCCGAAATTGTATAAAGAGCTTGCGGACATCGGCTACAAAACAAAATGCTTGGCTATTTGTAGCTACATATATATACAAGTTTTTGAGGGCAGTTCATAATAACATGATTCATCTCTGCGTCATTTAGAAACTTAAAGTGAAAAAGGATATTGTGGTGGTCACTTTTCTTGATATATTTTTTTTACCCAAACGCCTTTAACCACAGAAAAACTTTCAAATTCAACGTGCAAAATAAAATAAACACATTTGACTAGTTAATCCCTGTCAACAAACCGAAAACTATAAAAATAAAGTTTGCAAATAAAAATGAATATGAAATTATGCGATGACGGACTTCCGCCGGTAAAAGTTGGTAAACCGTTCAACTTTAAATTGGTATTTATCGTTCATTTTGCCCATTCATGTATGTGTTTTTTGGTATGCAGTTTCGTAAATAGATTAACACATGGCTGAACATTCAGCTTAATACTGCGATGTAATAAAAATTTAATGAGTCTGTTTCTCTTTACGTTTTTCTGATCTTAGCTTTGCGCTCATGTGTAGGGTCAGTTGAATTCAATTTCCGGCTTTGCTTTAAAACAAATTAATTCCATGACTCACTGGGATTTAGAAAGAAACAAACGAAGAAGTCATTGATTACGTTTTTGAATCTATTTTAAAGGATATGTGTGTGCATGTGCATGTAGATTAGAGTTGGCAATTTATCGGAAGTTTTCATTTTTCAATAAAGCTCTGAATAAAAAAAAATCTTAAAAGCGACTTAATTTCGTTTCTCTCATTTTAAAAATCTATACCCCCATGAAACCGCTACTACAATTTCTTAAAATTTGTACATATTTACCAACGAAAATTTATTTTCTTAATTATGCTTCACTTTGAAGCGTCAACAAAGAAGAATATTTAAATTGATTGGTTTCGAATCTTTAAACATCGACACATTTTCCACCTCTAATGCCTGTCATGCCGTTGTTTGCATGTAGCCAACTGGCATTTGAGCCTTCCGAGCTGGCTTCTTTGTGCGAGTTTGCATCTACATGTCGGCCAACCACAGGCAAAGCAACAAATGGGAACAAGAAAATTGCTGCGGCTTTCCAAGTCTCAGCCCTTTCGCCCTTTAGCCTGGGGTTTTTGCTCCTCTTTGGCTCGATGTTGTTGCCAAGTACTTTGATTTCCGTCTTTGGGGTCTGACAAGAGCAAATTCCTTTGCTCACAGCCCAATGACAAAGTTCCTAAGACTCGACAAAGCCACTTAAGGACCCAAAGTCCTGGCGCAAAATACATTTGAGACGCGTGAGATCCTCGGGCGCAAATTAGTTACGTTTTTGTATGGGAATTCCAAACAATAACAAGAATATCAACAAAAGCCAACAACAAACGGCAAACGACATTGACTGTAGAAGTGTGCATGTGTGGCACTGTGTGTGTGAGAGCTTAGCTGTGAGTGTGTGTGTGTTCGCCTGTCAGTATGCAGTGAAATGTGACGAGGGGCAAGTGACTGAACAAGTGAAAAGGAATAGAAAACAATCGCGATGCCAACGCTGTCACCTTGGGCTCTAGGCTGTATTATATCCATTCAATTTTATTATAAAATAAAAAAAAAATATTTAATTTTCAGGAGCTCGATGTAAGCTCACATTCCTGTTTTCTTACTGACAAATCAGAATAAATAAAGAGCAAATAAATTGTATTCCCTTCCAATATGTTTTCCTTAATCTGTTTTTAATAAGAAAACAAAAGGAATCATTGCTCACAAAACAGAAAAATTGTCTGGAAAAAGTGTATTTTCATGTTTTTGATATCACATTCTCTTTATTTCTTAAACTTTCCTTCCCTTTCAAACTTACCCATGCATTTTGTAATTTACATTTGCACTCAACTCTAAGCAAAACTGTCTGTCAAAAACAGATGAGAAACATAAATGAATTAGTTTTTAGGGTTGAGCAAAGATAGAAATGACTAGGAACAGCATCTTAATGTTCCGTTCTAACACTTTTCTCAACGTATCAGTAAATAAAAAATTTTTTCAAGCACTTTGAATAGTTTTTAGTTTACAGATGCTCTATATTTTGTTAGAAATTTATGAGTTGCTCCGGCTTTACTCTGCATTACATTTTGTAAACCAAAGTTAATGTGCTAATCACATGAACTTCATTAAGTATTTATATATTACTTTATTGTATGTGAGCAAGGTAAGTTGTGTGGTCAGCGCAAGCTTGAGAACTAATTTAACAATGAAAATACTAAACTTTGTTTAATTTTTAACTTTAAGAAA